CCGGTCTTTCCATCGAATTCCTAAACCAGGAGGAGCCAATACGGAAAAGTAAGCTTTCTCCTGTCATTTAGTAAATATTAGTTGTACAAATTGCTTGCGAACCAGCAGGCATTGAGGTTGTTGCTTCTTTTAAAAATGTGATACCTTCTTTTTCAAACAAGGCTGCTATTAGCATTGGAGAATTAGCAACAATGCAAAGCAAGAATTGATATTCATCAGCTGATGTAGTTTTGTCTTGCATATAAGCTGTCTCTTCTGCCTCTTTTGTTCTCTAAATTAAATCGCTTCGGACCTGAACTTTCATCACTTATTTCTTTTAAATAAAGGGAGCGATTGATTTTAAATCTTTTCCTAAGGGTAATTAATCAAGTGGCTGATTTGTTAACTAAATCTGTGTTGGTTTGCAAATCCAAGGAACTCATTGTGAGACTGGGACTCAGACTTTAGCGAGATTCAAATCTGGAGTTCCAGACAAAATTCTAGTCAAACTTTGTTGAGAGAATTCTAGTATAAAAATTTCTTTGTACAGTTTGTTTTAAAATGAGGTCTGGTGAGGTTTTTCTCACCTGCAGCTAAAAATGTTGGACCTGCATGTTTTCCCAGTTAGCATCTTTTCAAAATGGAATTAATTTCTGGGGAGGCGAAATATGGCAATGCCGTGAGAGGAAAAATTAATGCGTCTTATATCAGCTGATTTTCTTCATAACTGCTGTTGCACCCGAATCATAAAAATATGCACTGCTACAGAATTGTTTCCTTTTCAATTCTAATTTTTGAGAAGGCGTGATGGAGAAATTGCAACAGTGCGAAGCACAAATTAATATTCATCAGCTGATGTAGTTTCGTCTTGTATAACCTGTCCTTTCTGCCTCCTTTTTTCTCTAGAATGAATAGCTTGTGCCCCAAACTTTCATACCTTATTCCTTTTGTAAAACTTATTTCTTTTCTTGAACTGGGTCTTGTTCAAAAGGGGCCCACAGCATTTAAAACCTGTAGTAAGTAAATTAAAATACATTATTGCAAAATTCCCTTTACTTCTGACAATATTACAAGTAGCCTCCACAAACTACTCCTTTCATGCTAGATAGAACGCAGATCTCTAATTTTGATCATAAGTTTTCAGTTTTTACACCTTTCATATCGTTACTAATCCTTGTGTACGTTCCTTTGTTGCAGATGCCGTCAGTGGGCAAGTTGGCTTTACCCACAAAGTAACTGGGAGTCTGAATCTGATCTACTGGCCCTGTACAAAAAGTCGAGAGTTGTTTGCTCAAGTCATTTTACCGAAGCAGACTTTTCGGACAATGTGCGTCGAACACTGCGTAGAGCTGCTGTACCTCATGTCACATCCACGGATAAATCCACTGTGGATAATGCACCAAATACACCTGCTGATGAGCAGCCAAGAGGAGAAGTTTGTGCTTCAGTTACCACTCCCCAAAAAGCTGCAGTTCAATCAAGTATCGAGACAACCCCTCGTAGAGTCTGCTTCTCTGACCAGCGAACTCCGATACCAAGCACTCCAAATGACAGGCATGGTGGTGAGGCAGAACCTGAGATGCGGACCCCTGAATGTGCCGCTTCAGCTTGTACTCCACCTTTGGCTTCATCAAGATCGGCCACAAACAAAGCTGGAGCTCCCAGAACCATATTGCGTTCGATAAATGTCACCAGGGCTGCTCACATGACTCCCCGCAAGCAAGTCCTGTATGCCAGCTGGAAAAAGCAGGCTCGAGAAATCCGCAGGCTTCAGAAAAAGGCAAAGTCATGCAAGCCGACAACTACCCTTCTGGACATTAACTCCAGCCTAATGAACAGCAAACTGGGCAGTAAAATGTCCCCAGCTGCTGTAGCATTCATTGAATCACAAATTAGAACTGCTGGGAAGAAGCCTAAAGGTAGACGATGGACCTTAGAAGATAAACTCCTCGCATTGACAATTTATAAAAAGTCACCATCCGGGTACCGCTTTCTGCGTAAACTGTTTTCTCTGCCCTGCCCGAGCACATTGAACAGTCTCCTCAACAACTTTCCGCTGAGACCCGGAATCAGCGATGAAGTGCTATCTTCCCTCGCAAATACTGTAAAAACCATGAAGAAAGGAGATGAAGTTTGCACTCTTTGTTTTGACGAAATGTCTTTGAAACACCATCTACAGTACAATCCAAAGTTGGATTTGATTGAAGGCTACGAAGATCATGGCGATCAAGTAAGGAGCAGCAAAGTTGCCTCTTATGCCTGCGTGTTCATGGTTTGCGGATTGAAAAAGTTTTGGAAGCAGCCTGTAGCATATTATTTGAGTGGTACCGGCATCTCATCGGACAGACTTAAAATTGTTTTGAAGGACCTTATACGCAAGTTGCGCAGCATAGGTTTGAAACCAATGACGACAATCTGCGACATGGGGAGCACCAACGTCAAGGCTCTGAAGGAACTACGGGATAAGCCGTATGATTGCTTCTTCAAAGTGGATGACGAAGAAGTTGTCATAATCTACGACCCGCCGCACCTTCTCAAATGCATAAGGAACATGCTCATGAAACATGATGTCACCTGTATTATTGATGCCGAATTGAACGGGAAAAAAGGAGTCACTGGTAAGCTGTTTTTCTATAACACCTACTCTCTCTCATTTGATACATTACATTAACTACCCGAGTATGAGGGACCGCAAAAATTTTCATAGAAAGCTTATAATTTTTAATTAGGAACCTCTTAATTAAAGTCTTCAACTGTTTAAACTGCAAAAAATTTCTTAGAAAGCTTATAAATTTTAATTAAGCAACTCTTAGTAAAACTGTTTATATTTTCGAAGAAGGAAACCTGTTTGGGATTTTCTCTTTAGGTAAAATTTATGAAAGATCAAATCTAAGTCCAATGATTGTCGAAGCTTTCTCTTATAAATAATACACTGGTTTTCGACACTTTTTTTAGGTAAATTTTTCCTCTTGTAAATGATAAGTCATGAAAATCCCAGAAAGAGTTTCCTTCTTCATACATTTGAACAGTTTTTGAAGAGTTTCTTCTTCTCAACTCAGTTACGCTTGATTGAAAATCATTAAGATAAGAAAAATGGAGGGAAAAATAGAACTGGTAAAAGTAATGGTAAATCATGATAAAAGAAACACCTCTCGCCTAATTCTCCGAATACTGAACAGACATTTGTAGAGTTCATTATTTCTAATTATTTCTCTTTTTTTTTTTTGTTCTCTAGGAACTGCTAAATGGTCAGTTATCGAGAAGCTCTATGAGCTGGAGCAGCCAAAGTTCTTGTGTCGAAGAGCCCGAAAATTGAAGTCAGCGCATGTGTATCCAAAGTATGGGCAGCTGATGAAAGTGAATCTAGCAGCCCAAGTAATGAGCCACTCCGTAGCTGTTGCCATCCTTGCATACGCAGCCAGAAGTAAGTTATAGTACCATCACATATTTTACACCCTCTGCATCAGCCATCAGGCCCCACAACCCTTCCTAAAAAATTACCTGAGAAGCCGCGTTAGTATTGCATGCCTGTCATACATAGTTTCCTTTCTGTTCCATTATCAAGATTTTTCTGGACAAGTACTCCTCTCTGTCCATATAACACCATGTTAAACTCGTCCAATTTTTAGGCGTCAGAAAAAGAAGGAAAATTTTTCTTCTCAGGCAACAAGTGGAGTTACTTTCACTCAATTTTGCTGCTGAAGCAATGCTGATTGATATTTAGGGAAAACTCTGATTTGTCAGGAGAAAATCGATCTGACTCAGCAAAACGGAGGTCATTTTTGAACTCAGCAATAAAACCTACCCAGCACCAGTTACTTAATGGTTAGGAGGCAAATTTAAAAAAAAAAAAAAAATAAATCTAGACCGTTGATATTTGTGTACTAAAAATTCCTCCTCTAAGTTTTTGCATTTTGATGCAGTAGATTCTGACAGTAGACTAATTTTCTTTTAATTTTTGTGTTACAGATGAGATCAGCGATGGTGTAGCTACAGCATCATTTTTATTGGAAATGGACAATCTGCTAGACTCCGTTAATGGGTACAAGCCTACCTTGCAAGACGGGAAGCGCCTTAAAACGCAGATTAACAAGAGAAGTCCGCACTTAAAATTCTGGGCGGAGGCAAAGAGAAGAATTCGTAAGTGGAAATTTGGGGGATCTGATCCACCCTCAAAAAGTGGATGGATCCGGTCTCTGACTGCAATTGAGTATCTGTGGAAGAAACTAGTTAAAATGGGATTTGATCATCTGTCACCAAGGCGCCTAAACCAAGATTGTCTTGAAAATCTTTTTGGTATTATTAGATCTTTGTGCGGTGGTAACACCAGGCCCAACACCCCCCAATTTATAGGTGCCTTAAAAACAGCAGTAATTAATAATGTTGCGTCTCTGGATGCCAAAAACATGAACTGCAAGTCGGATGATGCCCCCTATTTAAGTAACTTAAGAAACTTGCTTGATAAGTGCTGTCTTTCCTCCACATCTGAAGAGGGTGTAACTGACAATAGTGAGGTTGAAAGCGAGGACAGTCGAGAGACGGATCCAGAATTGAGTAAGGCTACTGCCGAAGAAGGAATTGAGGAAGAATTTAATGTTTTGTGTAGAAAAGTGAAAGAAGACTTTAGGAAGAATAGTAAGGAAATGGAGAAGAGTATGAGAAAGGGAGAGTCTGGCATCCTATCTATTGCTTACGTTGCTGGTTTCATTGCGGGTAGAATACTCAAGAAATCAAACTGTGACCAATGTCGAGGTCTCATGACTTCGAAAAACTCTGAATTTTTCAATGAATTTATAGATTTTAAGGAATATGATGACAAGCAACGCCTCAATCGCCCATCCCTTGATATGGCTGTCACGATAGGGAATTGTGCAACCCTTATTGACAAAATTCTTGACACCAATGCCCATCAGTCAAATTTGAAGGCAGGCATTAGCAGTGTTCTGCAAACTGAAATAAATTTTACTTGGCTGAATGAATGTCCGAATCATTTTGTGGAAAATGTAAATAGTATCAAGAACTCCACCATTTCGATTTGGTTGAATTGGTGGATAAATCGGAAAAATAGGTCTTTCAGTGATGACAAACGTAAAGTAAAAGAAAAGATGGATAAAATTACCCATAAATAGTCAAGTGTGCCTAGTGCTAGTTTGCCGGTGTCGTTGCTAGACGCTTCATGTATGTAAAATTGTAAATTTGTAAAAAATTGTAAATCTGTAAAAAATTGTTAATTTGTAAAAAGTTGTAAATTTGTAAAAAATTGTAAATTTGTAAACAATTTTAAATTTGTAAAACATTGTAAAATTGTAAAACTGTAAAAAATTGTAAAACTGTAAACAATTGTAAAATATGTATTTTAATTTATGAAACATTAAATGCGTAACTCACTTGTAAAGTAATTTGTAACAATGAACTGACAATACTATGTTCAGCTCTTATGTATTCCTTTCTTTTGCAAAATATCTTTTTATATAAATTTTACATGCACTCTAAATTGGTTTTATGAATTTATTTCAATCCCATGTTTACAACTAATAGTCTTTCATTAAAATTTACAGTATTTATGAATTATTATCGAATATCATAAAACACATACATACATACGAGTCGCTGTTATAGCGCTCTTTGGCGCTTTGCGACACCTAAACGCCACAAAGCTCGGTCTTCCCACAGGTTATCAGGGAGTTGACACTCCCTCATCTCACTTAACACCCCCTGTCGCCAACCTCTCACTGGGCGTCCCCTACGCCTCCTCCCAGGAGGAACCCAATCAAGCATCTTTTTTGGCAGCCTCTCTTCCGTCATCCTATTGACATGACCATACCAAACAAGTTGTTTGGTCATGACGTCGAACACGATGTCATTTTCGACTTCCATTATCTGACGCACTCTATCATTACGGACCCGATCTCTCCTAGAAATTCCTGCCGACCTTCTCCAGAAATCCATCTCCGTTGCTCTTAGCATATCCTGTGTCCGTTTCTTCAGCTGCCAAACTTCACATCCGTATGTTAATATACTTTTTACTACAGCGTTGTATATCCTCCTCTTGTTATCTTTGGAAATCCGCTGATCCCAGAGGATTCCATTTAACATCGCTATAGCCTTCCTTGCTAAGGTGTTCCTTTCCCTGATAGCTTGATCCGTCCTTCCATCCTGGGTCAACCGCACTCCCAAGTACTTGAAGTGCTCGCAGCATTTGATCTGCTGCCCATCCTCCAACTCAATGCTTTGCTGATCACCACCAAAAGTCATCTTCTCAGATTTGGATATGCTGACTTCCAAACCCCACTTCCGATATTCTTCTTCTAACTTGCGCATCATGTACTCCGCGTCTTCTTGATCTTGAGCAACCACCACCTGGTCATCAGCAAAGCACAGAGTGAACAGAGTTTCAAGATCACCCAAGGGGACACCCATACCAGAACACTTCCTTTTCCATTCCTTTAGCACACATTCGAGGTAAATTTTAAATAATGTTGGCGACAAACAACATCCCTGTTTTAAACCCTTAGTCACATAAAATCCCGCTGACAACCCCCCATGATACTTAATTTTGGTAAAACTCCCTTTATAAAATAGCTTGACAGCATCAATCAACCCCCCGTTAAAATTCGATTTTTCCAAGGCCTCCCAAAGTTTCACCAACGGCACACTGTCATACGCTTTCTGGAGATCCACGAAAATTAAATGCAGCTCCTGAGCTACGGCCATTTTCTTCTCAATGACCTGGACAATAACAAAGAGATGATCTATCGTAGACCTGCCAGCTCTAAAACCAGCCTGCTCCTCTGCTTCGTGATCCTGCCATTCGTCCTCGATCTTCGCTTTCAGTATCTTCCCGTACACTTTGCTTATTGTCCCGGTCACTGAGAGCCCCCGGTAGTTGTTACAGTCGTCCTTCTTTCCCTTCTTTTTGTAGATGGCCTTGATCCAGGACTCCTTCCACTCCCTTGGTACCTCGTCACCCCTGATGCATTGCTGCATCAGTTTCCTGAGGCACTCAAAGAGCTTGGCAGTCCCGTACTTGACCAACTCAACAGGAATCCCGCCAGGACCCGGCGCTTTATCATTAATTAGCTCTTTAACCGCTTTAATTATGTCACAAGTGTGAATCTCCAAGTTGTTCATTCTTCCGTTGTCCGTGCTGCTGTCTCGAAACTCTGGGCGCCTTTCCGTCAAAAGATCTTTAAAATGATCCTCCAGTTTTTTAAGTGATATCGGAGAAACGATGTCGCGCTTCATGTCTCTACGTAAACCTTTAATTAACTTCCAGCTCTCAGCACTTTTTCTCCCCCCTAGGTAGGTGTTAATTCTAGAACAGTTGCTTTCCCAAGCTTCATTCTTCTTCCGTGTTATGAGGCTCCTAACTTTAGACTGAGCTTTCCTGTAAGCAACTTTATCTTCAGCCTTTTTAGACGACAGAAATATAAGATGTTTTTGCCTCTTGAGATTTATCTCGTCTTCAATTTCTTCATCCCACCAGTAAGGATGCTGCTTTTTATTACTGGTTTTGCAAATACCTAGGGCTTCTTTAGCTGCAGAGTGGATACAATCTTTAATGAAATGATATTGCTCTTCAGTGGTACCCGAAAGCCCATCCCCCAACTTCTCATCCAAGCGTTTCCGATACAGAGCCTTGACACTAGGGTGCTGCAAACTTTCGATGTTGTATCTTACCTCACGCTCTTGCATCCCCTGTCCCTGCTGTTGTTCAGGCACTGGCTCTACATCCTTAGTTCCTTTAACGGGAAACGCTATATCTGCTCGGAGGAAATGATGGTCACTGCCGCAGGAGAAACCCCTGCACACTCTAACTTGCTGCAATTTCAGCTTAGTAGAGTGCTTAACAATCACATAATCGATGATGGATTTCAATCCTCGCGTTGGCTGGACCCAGGTATACTTATGGATGTCTTTGTGTTGAAAAAAGCCATTCAAAATTCTCATCTCAGTTTGAGAACAAATTGAGATGAGCCGATCACCGTTATCATTAACAGCATCCTCCCCAAACGGTCCAACAACTTTACAGTTTACTCGTCGTCCCGTTCTGCTGTTCAAATCACCCATAAGTATGACTTCCCTGCCAGCACCAACGTTCAGAATTTCATCATTCAGATCTTCAAAAAATTGGTCCTTACACGCGACAGTGGCATCATCATTTACACCGTACACTCCAAGCAGCGTGATCTTATGTCCGTATAGGTTGAGGTTCATTCTGATAAGTCGCTGGTTGACGGCCTCCCAGGTGCCCACAAACTTACGTAGGCTTTTCCGCATGAGTATTGCTACTCCTTGCTGAGCACGCTGATCTTTGGCCACGCCGCTGTAGAATAGATCATAGTCACCGTAATTCTCTGACCCGTGCCCTTTCTTCTTGGTTTCAGTAAGAACAGCGACATCCACTTCAAGCTTCTGGATCTCCGATATCACTTCCGGTAGCTTATTCGAAATGCCTTGGACATTCCACGTCCCAAATATCAATGTCCGTTTTCTTAATTTTTGTCGACGTGTCCGTTTGTTTCCAGTGGTACCGAGGCTTGTTACGTTAGGTCTTTTGACAGTGAAACCTTTTACAAGTACCGGGGAGTCAGCCCGATGACTCAACCCCCAACCTGGAGGACCAGGGTTTGATTTTGGAGTTGCCTCTCCTAGACAGGTTGCTTTCACTTCAGCTCAGAGCCCTGTCTGCCCTTCTAGCAAGTGGTTCATACGCCCAGAGGCCGGTGACCATCTCCACTATCCCCTTTAAGGCAGGGGCTACCAGCTGGGGTCCGCAGGATTGCTATACCTGTGACAACAGTCCCCCATACGGTCTCATAAAACACATCACTCTTAAAAAAGATAGATTAATATTCATAGTGAGGAGAGAGAAAATAACCATAAGTATGACTGTGAAGTGTAAAGAAAAATATATCCTTAAAGACAGAAGAAATAATTTGGCTTCTTGTATTTTTAAATTTTAACTTATCTTATTAATAGCCCGAATTTGTTTATTTTATTGTATGTGCCTTGTGTTCTTCTTCCTTTATTACTGCAACATGCTGTCAATATCACTTACTGTTCGAAAAATGTTTTGATTTCACGAGTTTCCCTTTCCTCAAAAATCTAGCATTTTCCGTGCATTAAGTCATATTTTCAGCACGTGGCAGAAGGCGCGCGAAGAATACTGGGCGCGTGCAATTGAATTTCCCGCGGTTATTTTGAACGCCCGGCAACCCCGGCCGCTAAATCTCAGCCGTTAGTTCCACCTTTGCCCGGTGCTATTCTACGAGGAGGCGAGCGCTAGGATCGCGATCACTGTTAACGACAGCTATCATTGTGTTGGTATTCTTCTTGTTATGTGTTCTGTGGCAATGGCTGCTTGAAAAGGAGTGCATTGTATTTTAGCTTCCCGTCGCCATGCTTATTTGGGCATCAATCACGGGAATGAGGACCTGTGAGGATTGATTTGGGTTATTAATAGGTCGCATTTACTAAAACCCGAGATCGCAAACTGACTTTGAGCGCGATGGATGATCGCACCAAGACTTTACTTTGAATCTGAATCTTTCAAATGAAACGGCTTGATCCTATGGCCATTCAAATATTACGTGAGCCTCCTATTAAATTTAAAAAAAAAAAAAAAAAAAAAAAAAAAAAGGCAGCGCTTTTTTCGGCTTTCAACTTAATATTTAATTATTTTTATTTTAATTTAATTTATTTTTATTTTATTTTATTTTATTTTTTTTTTGTTGAAAAGAGGAGGAAATTTTATTCAGGCAGACGTAATTCCGAAGAAAGGATGGCCACGCACTCGCTGGCACGTGCAAAAAATAACGTCATTCAGGATCGGACTGGCCATAAGGCCAATCTGCCATTGGCAGATACGCCCCCTTTCCGCGCCGAAAACGCGCCCCTCTTACAGATAGCAAAATAAGAAGAAAAAAGATATGACCGAGAATATGTGAGAAAAATTTCTTAAATGAACGGAAGAGGAGAGAGTTAGGAGTAAAGAAAGGTGCTTTAACGCATGGTAGTGGTGAACAGAGGTCCAAGAACTACTTTCTGAAGCGTGAACAATTTTCTGTGAAATTTTCACCTTCTTCTTGACATACAGGTAGCAAACCCCCTCCTTCATTCGCTATGTGTAACTCCCTTAGAAGCGATGGTCGGTTCGATTTTTAGACATGCGCATCCTTTATAGACCTCTTAAGAGACCTTTAAACATATTTCCTC